CCCAAATTAAGGTGCCTAATTAAGTTCTTAGGGGCAGTTTAGTCAATGTTCTAATCATAATAACTAGTCATGATTTATCTCATATTCATCATTTAATGTAACAAGATGTCATCCCATTTATCTGATGATTTTCTCAATCGCAACCAAATCGATCAAATCCTCCACAGAAAGTTATCTCTTTCACCTATTGAAATCACAACTAAAAGTATGATATTCAAGAACTTGAATTTTCAACTGTTAGTCTATTCAATGATTTTCATCAGTTCATCATCATCAGTAAATCGATCATCAATTGATATCAAATTCCAACAGTTTTCAAGCTTTGATTTTTTTACAATCAAATATGTGATTTCAACAATTCATCATCATCTTAGATGTATTCTCAATTAGAGGCTTTGATTTCAGCTATTAATAATTTGTTTCAAGATGTTTTTTCCCTACGCATTCCGGAACATATTACGTAAAGAAAAGCAAGCAACAACAACAAATCTTTGAGCTAATATGCATTCTTTCTATAAATTGATGAGGTATGTGCAAAAAATTATTATTATTGAGCAAATTCTCTTAAACTAAAAATGCACTCTACCTGTTTGATGAAAGTCCTGAATGAATAACGAGTCTGATGTATCACTCCCTCCTTCCTACGACTTAAGTCCTCTTTAAGAATATGTGTATACTTACAAAATATGAGTCACAATTGGTGAAAAATGATATAATGTTTGCTTCTCATATTAGCTTCACTATAGTTTTGTTTAAATATGATTTTTTTCAAGCACAAAAGGTTGGAGATTAATTTTAGCATAATTTTGTTTAAATCTTGATAAAATTGTATATTATTATGATTAGAATAATAGTATGTTTTATGTTTTATTTTAAGTATCATGATGTATATTTATGCCTGTTTGAAAGATTTTGAAAGATTGGTGCTTGCATCGTAGGGAAATATCTGACTATGTTGATGCTTGGAGCTTGGAACATGTTTTATCATTGGTTTGCCTCTAAATGATTAAATCATATTCTTATTGATATAAATGTTATTCTTTTTCCATCATATTTAGACAAGTACACTAAATGATGCGTATATGAAAGATTGATGTAATCATTGTAGGGAAATCTGAGACCATGTTGATGCTTGAAGCTTGAAACATGTTTCCTCATTGTTTTTATAATTTTGATTATTTGAGTGAAAGGTTTAGCACTACTACAAAAACACCCTTTTACGACACGCAATGCATGTCGTAAAACGCTCAAACGACGCACAAATACGTGTTAAGGAAGGCCCTCGCATAACGAAAGACGACACGCTTTTGCGCGTCGTCTATTTACGACACACGTTTATGACGGTCATTTACGACACGCAATGTGTATCAAGGAAGGCCCTGTCAGAAAGGAAGATGACACACATTTGCGTGTCGTAACCTTATGACGCACGTTTAGGACACGCGTTGCGTATCATTAAAGCCCCTTTCATAAATAAAGATGACACGCATTTGCGTGTCATAATTTTAAATGTTTTAAAAAATATATGTATTTTTGATAGAATTACTAATTTTCAAATTAAACAACAGATTAAAATTATCATAATAAAAAAAAAATACCATACATAAGAACGATAATTCATTTAAAAAATATCATATGTCAAATACAAATAATTATTCCCATACTATTTATTATAAAAAAACAAAACACAACATTAAAAGGAACTCGTGAGTAAGTTCTCGTTTGGTAGTCTCCATGGAAATGTTATGCCTTGCAACTTCACCCATCAGATAAGGAGCATCAACTCCATGGACACATTCAAGTATCTCTTCAGAGCATCGACAAGAAAAACGGTGAGTTTTGGGTGATGATTCATCAGAATCTTCTGGTGTAGTGGATAAAGATACTCTCCCAACATCCGGACATCCAACAAAAATATTTGCACTTTTGGGTGTGCATGAATCAATGATCCTTTCAAGAGTTTCTGAAACTCTACAGAGTCTTTCATTAACTATTAAAAACAAATGTATATTGTATATATTGGTAAAAAGAGTAAATTACAACCATGTCCCACACCGAGAAGTATCATAAACAAATAGAGAAATAACTTGCCTTTGAGGTGGTTACTAAGTAAACTGACTGTTGCCTTCAGATGAGAATGTTAATCGTCCGGATATGTTCATAAAAACACAGTTCACTATGTGTCAAGTATCATCATATTATTATGACGTTATTCACTTGGTTAAATAATTTACAAGTCACAAACACAAAAAACATAGCCTCGTTAACATTAAGATAAAAATCTCTTCATAATTAAAACATAACAACATAAATTGTATGTAGAGAGTAGATGCCTTTCCAACTCTCAATTTTGAAATACAATGATTCTCAAATTTTTTTAAATCTTAACTAATATACTTTGTAAAAATGGTTTAACAAAATCCAAATAAACCAAAATACTGATGAGATGACATTTGTTGTATGTTTTTTAATCTTTAACATCCCAAAATCAGATAACTGACTTAATACATGTTAATCAGAAGTGTTCCTAAAGAAGGGGTGATCAAGAGCTTCTTCAACAGTCAGACGTTCTTCAGGATCAAACTTCAATAATCCATACAACAAATCAACAATACATGATCTCAAACCTCCATATGAAACACACCCTGATATCATATTCTGCATTATAACAACACCTTAAATTAAACATCATTTCATACTTTACTTCATTTTGTTAAATATTTTAAAAGAAACAAGGAAACCTTGAGGTGATCTAGCTTCCTCACTGCTCTAATACTCTCCCTAGAAACCACACCTTCTGGCCACTTTAATTTTGATCTTCTAAAGTATTTTTCTGCACCCTGGCTGCAACAACCAGTAGAAAGAAAAAAAAAATCATATTTCAATAATTATATTGAACTTTTTTTTTTTTACCAAAATAGGTCTGATCTTACTTGGCTCTCTGAACCATATGCTCTGGTAAAGCTCCCAGTACCCTCTCATGAGTCTGAAACAAAGCTTCACCCTGAAAGATTTCATCATATCTTGTGTAAGTACATGATGAAATGATATATGTAAATCAGTTTATAAACTTACTGAAAAAGGAAGAAGAAAAGAAAACAAACCGTAAATAATTCAACAAGTATGCAGCCAATACTCCACATGTCACATGGGTAGCTCCATCCAATGTTGTGATATTGATAAATCCACTCATTAGGGTTTAAAGATTTAGGGATTATGGATTAGGGTTTATGAAAATCAACCTAGAATAACTTCGGGTGCACGGTAGTGTCTTGTAGAAACAATGGAACTATGTTTTTTATTATGATAAGCAATACTTCCAAAATCAATTAACTTAATCTCACTTGACTTTGGCAAGCATTTGAAATGTGTTTCACCTTGTGAAGTCCTCTGCAACATTTCAAGATAAAATTATCAAAAAAAGAACAAATCTGCCAATTACATTATGTCTCCAACCTCAAAAAGGTCATTCATTTACCTTGTATATAGGAAGCTTTAAATAATCAGAAGACACAAGAAGGATATTCTCCGACTTCAAGCCAATATGGATCAACCCTAAACTATGCATATCTGCCAAGAAGGATAATAAAGCTGCTATGATTTTGTTACAAGAAAGTTAGATGTTAATATTTTTCGAGTATACCTAGATTCCGGCCCAGTGTTTCTTGATATCATCAGTTGACCTATCTGACACGTTTATCCAACCCCATAGTATTCTCCTATTCTTCACACTATCAAAAAAATGTCTTGGATGCGTAGAACTTTCCATAATCGTTTCTCAAATCTGAGCTACTTCTAGTAAGACCTTTATCATCTGGTAAGAACTTTTCTTTATCAGCATCATAGCTTCCAATTGTGTAGTAGTCATGTGATTTGAAGTTTGCTTTCAGCACATACTTGAGGTTTATTCTAATCGTTGAGTTCTCAATCCCATCTCTACTGTTAATAGACATAGGATAAAAGTCTGGACACTCCCATATATTAGTATTCTTTCCAAAATTAAGTGGCTCATCATGCAAGCTCCAGTGAACAAAATCTTTACTCCTATAAAGAATTGCCACTCTTAGATTGCTATTCAAACCACCTACAACTACCCTCCAATGCCCATCTTTCCCCCTACAAGCTGTACTTGGATCACGGAAATTGTCTGGTTTGACTCCACGACGTGGAGTCATGATGGGATTACCAGAATATTTCTTCCATTCTTTTAGAAAGGGGTCTAATAAATTTTTTGGCATTGCAAGATTCTGAACTTGCTAATTCTGGGAATCGAGTCCAGTGTACAAAACCACTAGTTTGTTTCCTAGAAGGATTGTTGTGGAGCCTTACCAGCAACTGTTGATGTCAAACGACTTGGTTGGGACAATGGCGTTCTTGAGGTGAATCCAGTTTACCAAATCATGGGAAACGGAATGACCCCATAGGATTGTTTTATTAAAGATTGCACCATAAGGATTGTATTGATAAAATAGATGATAAACTCTCTTGTAATACATTGGACCTATCGCATCAAATGAATGATCAGAAAACAAAACTTATAATCTCTCAAAACATCTTACAAATTAAAGTAACTTAAGGGATTACCATTAGGATGTGTATGTTAAAATACCCGCCAAAAGATACAAAACCATGCAAAGAGAATAAAAATGGAGTAAGTACTGTCTAAAATAACAAAAAAATGAACATATAACAACAACAAAAATAGGGAAAATGCACGATTATGGTTATATATGTCGCAAAGTTAAAATACCATTCAGCCAGTTCTTTGGGGGTCGGAGATGGAAATATGGTCTCCGTGGTTGGTTTTTGGGGCTTGGATCCCGATAAAGAGGCATAATATGAGAAGTATCAGAAACCTCCTTCCCATTGCTAAGCTGAATACACAACATGTATACGACACAAAAAACATAAACCTTAATTTTGAGGTCACTTGCAAGAATGCTAAGTTTAGGCTAATTATCAACCTTTGTAAAATCATATTAAAATGCATTCAAAGGAGGTTTCACGTTCACTTAGGCTAGTTATCAACCTCTGTAAATTCATATTCTAACAAGCATCACATATATTAAAGCACCACCTTATCAACAAAGAAATAACATGATTGACAAAAATAGGAGAACAAAGTCATCAAGAATTCAAGACACTTACTATGCATATATGATTGCGGTAATCGAACCAGTTCAGGATCTGGACACAGCTGCAGATGTAATTGAAGAGATGATAACATCGATGAATCATGAAGAATGACACAAAAGTGAAAGAAACATACTGTGATCTTCCTTTATGATTCTTAGCAAGTTGTTCAAGTACATCAACTTCAATCATTGCAACATCACTATATTTTCTTATGCTTCGGACTACCTTGATTGCTACATATCCATGGGTTTCACGATCCCAACATTCCAAAACTCGACCAAAGGTGCCTAAATCACTAGCAATTTATTGATACCCACAAAAGAAGAGTGATAAAAATATAAGATTTTGCAGACAGCGGACACTTTATAGCTAACCTTCACCCATCTTGCTCAGTATTTTATCTGAATGAAATCGTTACAAAAAATTAAATTGTTAGTTGATGTGATATGAATAGGTCAAAGAAGAGATAGCAAGGAATTCAAGGACAAAGAAAACTCACATCTTGGAGTTAGATTCTCTCCAAGATTGTACGTATAATGTATAATGTCCCTCATGATCATCCTTTCTATTTGGCAGCGAGATATGGCGCTGCCGTACTCCAGCCTACAAAGAAAATCTCACCATGAACCAAGAAACCCTAACCCTATCGTTTCCAAACGACATCAAGCTGTTGGGATTTAATTCAAAAAATAGTTACACAAACTAGAAAAATTATGGCAACGGAAGACTTTAATTTTGAAATAACATAAACATTTATACCCACCAAGGATCTTCTTGCAAGTTATAGAAATATTTAAACACCAACCAAAGAAGAGATGAAGAAATAACAACTTTTGTAGTTCTTTGGGTCCTCTCGGGAGGCTTGGAAGTTGATGAAGAATGTGGAACCTTTGAGACAACAACAATGACTCAACTTGATGTAGATGCTAGTCCAAAACTCTTAAACCCATAAGCTTAAAGTTCATAACCAAAGTATGAACTTCAAGAGAGTTAATACAAGTAACTTCTAACCTTCTAACACTTTTGCAAGAGAAGACAGAGAGAGATAAGAGAGATTTCAGCCACTTGCAAGAAGTGAGGGATGAGCATTCTAGCCAAATGCAAGTCTCATATTTATATGCAAAAAGTAAAGGTATTAACCATTAGTCCTTAGCACTTTAAGCAAACTTGTCACCATTGTCATAAGCATGTCTCCTATTCCTTTAAAGCATGATTAGACAAGTCATACACTTCTTCTTTTTATGCATATCTCTAAAATTGCATAAAGAAGAAGAAAGAAAGTCAAACTTTTATAAACTCTTTTATAAAATATAAACATTGTCTTTGAGGAAAAAGACAAGAGGATTTAACTAGTCCAAAAGTTTGTACATGACTTATAAATCATACCATATGATGTATATTAAGTTACTTGCTAATGGAATTTATTATTTCCATGAAATAAATAATTTCCAATTTAATAATAAGAGTTTTATTGAATATTTTTTAAAATCAATTTCTAATAAATAATCAATTGTATCAAGTTGCTGTTAGTGTGACTCATTAGTATCATATGTTATTTAGCAATATTACTTTAATATGACTCTTGAGCATACTGGACCTTTCAATCTCCCACTTGCGCAAGACTCATATTGGACTGATATAGACAGTGGTGAACGTTTAGCAACATTTCACTGCCCCTAAGACCATACGACTGTTTGTGCTATTCTTTCAACACCCAATTCCCCAAAAGCTCAAAGCTACAATTGGTGTATAAGGTAAGTTTATCAGTTATCCCTTTGCTACAGACATCATGTTGAACATGAGATTCGGATCACGATCAATCTCATTAGTTGTTCAACTTTTGGTAAGGCGTATTAGATGTCTAACTCTCAACACATGAGAGGAAAAAATCCCATCTTCACTACATAAGCATCTTGCACAGTTCACACCGTACCTGAAAATGGCTTTTATAACTGCCCGGTTAAGGAACAACATTTGACCATTATCAAAGCATAGTACTCCCTACACTTAAGTCCCACTATGTATCTCAGGTCTTAAGAATACAAAGATAGTACCTTTTAATCAAGTATCATTCATGATAGCGATCCATGAGATGATCTTGATGTGAGTCAGTTCAATACTAGTTCTCTGACAAGTACCTATGAAACTTGGTTCCAACCACTTTTCTACTTTCATCTAGTGAGAGTCAACCAATCCATTTCATATTAGTATTATTTCATAATTGCTCCCACAATTATAACCGACTATGAACCTTTAGAATAATAACATTATTCATGGATTAAACAT